GCCAGTGCTGCTGCCCCTTCTTCCCCCTTTCTCACATCCCACTAGAGGAGAAATCCCAAAACTCTTCTTACCTGCAGCCACAGCCAATAACCTGCAGGGAAGTGACTGTTTTCCCCTGGACACATGCAATGCCCTACGTAGGGTGCCATGGAGGAACCCTCTGGCTGCAGGAGGGTTCGGACACCAGTCAGGCCTTGTGCCATCTGCCCCCAGCCCAGGCTGAGGGGAGGGGGCACAGCCACGGGGCAGGGGCAGAGGGCAGGCCCTGCACTGGGACAGGGCAGTGGGGCAGAGGCAGGAAAAGGGTGGATGACCCAGACCTGCTGTCCACCGGACGAAGGAGCGACAGATGTGTGGGAGGGCAAACAGAAACCAAGGAGAGCAGCAAAAAGCATGGAGTGGGGAGAAGGGCAAGAGGCAGAGAACAAGTGAGTGGCTGGGGGGGAGCAGCAGGGCAGGAGGCAGGGGCTGGGCTGGGAGTGAGGGAGCTCTTACGTTTTCTTTTAATGCCAGTTCCTTTTTCTCTCTTTCTTTTGGTTGAAGGAAAGTGCTTCTGAATTAGTGATAGAAAGACGCCTCTGAAAGTAAGATGCAAAATTTATTCCAGCTACCAGGAACATGTGCTGGTTACCAAGTACCACGTGTGTATTTGAGAGAGCCCCACGTTCCAGGGAAGAGAGGTCAATCCTGCCCCAGGGCTGCCACCACGGGCTCAGCCAGCCCTGGATACGGGACAGCTCCTGGAGCCTGAGAGTGTGTCAAGGCTGCAGGACCTTTATATATCAACCAAGAGGGAGTTTTAAATGGGAAACACTACACTGGGAAGCTGCTACATCAAAAATCCAGTAAGTCCCAGTGTCCAGCCTCTCTCCATGCCCTAAGAGCACAGACCACCACCAGGCCACCCAACAAATGTGCTCCACCAAGTCCTCTGATTCCCTGGCTGTGGGCCTGCTTCCCACAAAACCAAGTGGCTGAACATGGATCCATAGTGGTTTCAGGTGAATGGAAAAAAACATCAGAAAAAAATGAAAACCAAAGGTTTCTGTGGGCTGTTCTACAAATCAGAGAGCAAATGTTTAAATGCTGACTGTGTGGATGAACCCTCAGGGCAATGAGAAGGAGGTGCTGAACAAGCTCTGCTTGAGAAAAACCAAAAAAAAACCCAAAACCCCAAATGTTGCAAGTGACAGGTGAGAGGATGAACATGACAACTCCCCTGGGTGAGAAAAGGGAGCCTTGGGAACTGGGGAGGGAGCTCTAGGACCCTTAGTGTGAGGGGCTGAAGGGGACAGGGACCACGCTGCTCCCCCGAGGGACAGAGCTCTGTGGCACCAAGAATGGCCCCTTGTCCCGTGTGCTGGGGTGACCCTGCCCAAAAGAACACTCACTCTGGAGCCTCCCTGCCGTGCAGTTCTGCTCATTTCCCGGCACTCGCCCTCCCTGTCTCCCTGCAGACAGAGCCCTGGGCTGGAATCCACTCACAGAACAATGTTTATTTTTAACCCCATTTCTCGGCATCTTTAACCAACCGCTCCTTCCCAGCACACTCCCCTCCAGAAATCCCCCGAAGTGCTGGAACACCAGGACACACATTTGGAGGCTGAGCAGATGCCAGGAGACACTCAGTGATCCGGCCAGGGCTGAGGAACACAGAGTTCCTGCCTTTGGGGCCAGGGACAGTCACACAGTGCGGGACCCCCCGGCTCCAGGGACCACACTGTCCTTCCTCTACACCTGAGTTCCATGACATGGAAACCAATCCAAGAGATCAAGAGACCAAATCACCCAAGCAGCTGCCAGACCTGCCCTGTGCACTGTCACCAAACTGGGGTTTGGGCTGGAGACAGCAGAGTCACACACACCGACCCAAACCCCAGCACCAAGGGAGGAAAGCTCGGCCTAACCCAGACACGCATCAAAAGTCACTTCAGAAGAAAACAGCCCTGCACTGCAGAGGAAACACAACCCAACCCCATGTCCCAGGCTTTTGTCACCCGTTGTGCAGGTTCAGTCACGTTCAGGGATGGGCTGGTGTTTTGGAAGCTGCAGGCAGGAGGGGAGGAGGAGCCTCACTCTGCTGAGTGGGCAGCACGAGTCCTGCTGCTGGCTCACTGCTGGCACAGCCAGCTCTCCTGTCAGCCGGGATGGCCACACAGCCAGGACACTGGTCCTGTCCCATACACGAGCTCAAAGCCAACACTGGTCCTCGGACCACTCGTCCCTTGCCCTGCTCCAGTGATGCCACCTCACAGCATCATCACAGCCTTTGCCATTACAGAAGATTCTCTTGCTCATTCCTTTTGTGTCAACACCCTCATTTTCCAGACACACACAAACTACATCTGAGCTCCATTCCTGGCTCTCCTACACCTGCCAGTTCTTTTACGTGTGTAGAGAGTGGGATCAGGCTGTTCCTGCGAGTCTGGACCACAGGAGACTTCAAAATCCAGGATGTAGCTCATACAGTCCCACTGAAGACACAGTGACCCACGGACCCCTCTGAGTGTCCTCTCCACAGTACAGGGGGAGGTGACGTCAAACTGCATTCCAAGAACAGCCAGTGCTCCGTGCAGGAGCTTTCCTCCCACTCCTCTGGCCTCCCACGCACCCCCAAAGGAAAACAGGGATTTTTAACTCACTCTGCAGCAGAGACAAAACGGTTGAGATGCCCATCATTCTCGTCCAGGACCTCCCTGGTGCGAGCCTCCCCCGTGGACTGCAGGCCGATGACGATGCACTGCGGGACACGAGGGATGGCACAGGGAGGTGTCAGGGCAGGGGCACAGCTCCAGGCTCAAGAGGTATTTCCCAGACCCAGGTACTCCCCTTGAACCCTGTCCCAAACAAATCCATGCTGGGCCCATGGCAGGGCTCCTGATGAAGAACCATCTCTCAAACCTTTCAGCATCCAACAGCCCCCTGGGCTGACCCCACAGAGAGTGACTGAGCACACACCTGTGCTAGGGATCTTCTGCCTAAAATTTCCAAGGTGCACCCAGGTGGATGAAAGGGCAGAGCTGTGCTCAAGGTGAAGGGTCTGGTACCTCTTCTAGAATCCCAGGGTGGTTTGGGCTGGAAAGGACCTTAAAGCTCATCCAGTCCCAGCCCCTGCCATGGGCAGGGACACTTTGCACTAGCCCAGGTTGCTCCAAGCCCCATCCAACTCAGCCTTGGACACTTTCAGCTTGAATATGACCCAAAATCCCACCCCAGACCAGCCTGCCCACATCCCCCACACACCAGCAGAGGGTAATGCCTCGGGAGAGGAGGTAATGCCTCGGGAGAGGAGGCCACGTTAACTCCCCAGCATTTCACTGGGAATGTTCTGCGGAACCCGGGCACGACCATCCCACGTGGGGTCGGGCTGGCGGGGCTGCCCCAGTACCTTGTCCCTGGCCAGCTCCTCCCGGGCCAGCTCCACGAGCCGCCGCACCTTGGCAGCGATGCACAGGTACTTGAAGAAGCGCTGGTGAGCCGACCAGAACTGACCCCACAGCGACTTGCGCGACTCCAGCCCGATGCAGTCGGCTGCCTGCTGGAACACCATCAAGGCCTCTGCCCACTGCGGACGACAGCGAGAGGCACGAGTTAATATCCTCATCTCCGCTGGCATTCCTGCCACGAGGGAGGTGAGCAGAGCAGTCTGGGGGCTGATAATCTGCTTTAGGATCAGTGTTTATGTGTTGGGCTGAATGAAAGCTCTGGGCATTCTCTGCATCAGCATGACAAAGCTCTGCTTTGCAAATATGGAACTTTCAAACAGAAGCAAAAAAGTATAAGGGGGTGGTTTTTTTACATCAGCTGACCATTGTGTACCCCTTTTCTTTCTAATGTTTGAGGTCATGGCCTCATTTAGGGTCCTCAAACCCTCCCACATACCAGTGGCCATGCCCAAAGCATGAGTGAACCTCAGCCTCCCACTACAAGGGGCCCAGCTCACCAGCTTGGCTGCCTTGTCATAGACAGCCTTGTACTGCTCGTCCAGCGGGATCTCCTCGATCCTGAAGGTCACTCCAGTGAAGCTGAGCTGCCGGGCAATGTACATCCCACTGACCTTCATGTCCATCGCCACGATCTCCATCGCCCCGACTCCCCTGGGAGAGGGCGGCAATTGTGGGACCCAGCAGTGACCCAGCAGTGACCCAGCAGTGACCCCAGCAGTGACCCCAGCAGTGACCCCCAGCTGCTGCCTCTGCAGCCCCAGCCCCTCCTCTGGCTCATGCCCCCCCTTCCCACAGCTCCCCCTGCCCGGGGGGACAGGACTCACCTCTTCTCAATCGCGTGCAGGAACTCATCGAAGGCTCGGAACGGGGTTCCCTCCCCCCAGATCCCCAGGCGGCTCATGTAAATCATGTTTTTTGGCTCTGAGGCACCTGTTTAGACAGAATTCACTGTCAGCAAACCCACAGCACCTGGGAGCAGTTGTGATTCAAGTGAAGAGAACTCAAGAGGCTGTCATTTGCCATTGTGCCTTAGGACACCTTTCCAAATGTTGCCCTCCCTACACTGAGTGGGCAAGTGTCACCACACAGCTGGAACAGCTGGCCAGGAACAAGTTAAACTGGAGAGAAATTAGTCTGACCTGCCAAAAATCTACAAGTAACATCAGTGATGGGGCTTGGGGCAGATCTTGGCACTCTGAGCTCCTCTCCAGCCTTGCAGCACCACTGACCTCTCCTCGCACAGCCGCGTGCTCTCAGCACACACACTCACACCTCAGAGTGGCCTCCAGGTCAGAGGAGACCTGCCACTCTTCACACCCACCCCCTGAGCAGAGCAGCTCACCTGTGGCACTGGCATAGACAACCCTTGCTTGAGGCAGCTTGTTCTGCAGGTCCAGCACTGCTTTGCCCATTTTGGTAGAGCTGGCATTTTTGGCTTTGTGGCATTCATCAAACACGATCTGCAGGGGAATGTCAGTTAAGGAGAAAGGATCTATTTTCATCCCGAGGATGGGAGCAGACAGAAAATACAGCCAAGCTGCCTTCATCCAACCCAACACCCAGCCCCAGTACGGACCCACTCCTTCCCCACACGTGGAATCTGCTGCCTTTGCCCAGTCCTCTGCTCCTCAGACCCTAAGTCATCTCCCCCTCCCTTTCCCTTCACCTCCAAGGTGTGTTTTGTCTTGTAATGCTGAGGGAGAGGAATGTGAAAAGGTTAATCCCAGCTGCTTCTTCCCCTCCTCCCCTTAACTGCATCCTGGGAGGAGGAGGAGGAGGAGGAGTGTGGGGGATTCATGTACTCACAGCACTAAAATACCTCCCGCAGGCACGGGGCTGCTCCCACAGCAGCTCCCTGTGACTTCAGATGGCCCCGAGCTCTTTGTTCCCCAGTGAAGCACAATCACAAGTGGCAGTCCCTCTCTCTCCAGTTTTTGACTGTTTTGGGGTTTTTTTTAAGGATACAACTCCATCAAAGTTTTCCCTGCACCAGTCCAAGATCTGCTTTAGGCGCGTCCTGTGCTGTCCCCCGGCCTGGCTTTCGCCGATCAGCGCCGAGTAGGTGGCAAAGAGGACTCCTTCTGAGGTAGCTGTGTCACCATATTTAATCTGCAGGAAGGAAGAACCAGAGCACACACACTCATCATCGCTGTCCCCGGCACGTCACAGCCCTCCCTGCCCACGGCCACGCCGGACACACTCCTGATCCCAGAACAAACCCCAGTCTGAGCTCAGAACAGACAAAAAGCTGTCAGTAGCTGATGCCTTCGGCATTTCAGTTGGCACTGACACAGGGTGATGACAGGGACTGTAAATGTCTGGAGAAGTGCCCCAGCCAATGTGTCAGCACATCTGGACGCCTGCAGTGAACTGTGGGGAACACACGAGGACCTCGATTTTCTGGCAAAAAAAGTGCTTCGTTTTTTTAAGCAACAGTTTAGAGTGTTTCACTGCTTTGAACCCTCCTGCCTGCTTCAATTCCTTCTAGAAAATCCTTTTCTCTTTGACCAGGTGAGATTGTTGCCTGTCCCACTGCCGTGGGTCTCACCTGTAAAGAAATCCAAGGTTGGGGAAAAACCCCTGGCCCCAAGCTGAAAAAAGTTCCATTTAAAGTCTTTTGGGGCTGAAAACAAAATCTCTTTCAGTCTCTTAGTGGAGGGCATTCAGAGGTGTCAAACACTTGTGGTTTCTATGGACTTTGTAAAAGCTGGTTGTTCAATACCATTAAAACCAGAGGAGAGGGTTTCAGTGAACTGGAAAACACTGGACAGAGACCCAAGCAGGCCACAAAGAGCCCTGTGAATAATCATCCCACAACTGCTGATGGTGCTTTTGAGAAACACTTCAGCCTCAGCACTGAGTAACTGAAGAAAGCCTGAAAATCCTCTAATCTGCTCATCTGGGGGAAATGCCCACATGCTCCATGGGTGTGCCAGGGACCAGCCTGGGCACCTCTGTGCTCCCTGCATGCTCTGAGAAGTGGTTCCATGAACCAGCACTGGCAAAGGCCAGCCCAGAAGAGCAGAGCACATCTCATAGAGCTATTCCCTCCACAGGATTCCTCAGGAATGGTGAAAAAGGTTCCCGTCCTGCTGTACTTGCACTTGCCTGGAGACACTTCCCACTCCCTGCAGGGAACAGCTCTGTGCTCCCCGTGCAGCTCCACAGGGTATAAAATCAGCTGGAGCCCCGAGTGGGAAGTGGGCTGGGAGGAGGGAACACAGGCAGCTCAGTGTCTGTGCCTGCCTGGGCCTCGGCCCATGTGGGCAGAGGTGACACTGCCCCACGTGCCCAACTGCTCCTGTGGGCTGAGTTCCAGGGCAGCCCTGCAGCTCCTCTCCTACCTTGTTCAGAGCATGCACAGGAATGTGGGAGGCCTCGATGTCCTTCAGGTCTCTCTCAGCATCGTACTTGAGATCATTGGAGACGCTGAACCTGTGAAGTGGGAGTGGGGTGGGTTATCTGCTCCTGGGGTTGGTTATCTCCCCCAGGCAGCTGGGGCTGGTTATGTCCCCCAGCAGTCAGGGTTGGGTATCTCCTTGAGGAGTCAGGGCTGGGTATGTCCCCAGGCAGTCACAGTGATTACCAGCTCTGACTAAAGCAGGAGGAGCCCTGCAGAGCTGTCACATCTCCACTGCCCACACAGCCCAACCTGAGATCTGACAGCTGCCCCTTGGCACAGGCTGTGTGTGATCTGCAGCAAAGCCCCACTCCTGGCTCTGCACCCAGGAAGCCCATCACACCCCTCCACGACTCCAGAGAGAGCGGGGCCAGACTGGTCCTTGCACCCCCAGGAGCACAAAACCTGCTCTTTCACAGTGACTCACTCTCCAGCCCTGCTGCAGGCAGAATATTCCCATTGCACAGGCAGCAACCAGGCAGTAAGAGGTGGAAACGACTTACCCAAGGCCACAGCATGACTCAACACTAAAGCCAACATCAGCACTAAGGAATTCCTTACTTCTAGATCCAAACTAACTCCGAGGTCTTACGGGAACAGAGAGAAAAAAACCCAACAACTTACCACAGAGCTTTTTTCCTCCCTTTAAGATAATTTTCAAAGATGATGCCTGCAACGGTCCTGCCCTTTCCCACTCCGGCACCGTCCCCGATGAGGAACCCAGCTCGCTGCCCATTGGGCAATAAAACTTCGTGTTGCTGCAAAATCAAGAACAGGACTGGAAATTAAACTAGATTTGCCTTTGCTAACAGCTTTGATGTGAGCACTGCTTAACCCTTCCACACGTCCCACCGATGCACGTGCACGTCCTGCTCAGACAAAGGACGGCAGGAAGGGTCAGGGGTCAGGGCCAAGCTCATGAGTGGCAGTTCATGGAAAAGGCCCCAAAATGTACAGCTCTCCACAACAAAAGTCCAGGGTTCTTGCCCCTTTGGGAAACAGATCCCACAGAACTCCCTGGCTTCAAATAATCCTTTGAAAGGCACTTAAATGCCAAAGGAGTTTCACCACCTGAATTACAGTTATTTTAAACCACGTGAACACCTGTCCCTACCAGAGGCAGCTTTCTTGAGGGGTAGGAGATGGGCAAGGTGCAGGCAGTACCTGGCAGGCATAGATGATTGCTTCCAGCTGTAGTGCAGAGAGGGAGCCCTTGTCAGCCACGGAGCACGGCAGGGACAGGCTGTAGGTGATGTCAGGGGGGGGAACGCTGGACAGGGTACTCGTCTCAACCACCAGGTCAGGGTGGTGCTTCCCAATCTTGGCTAAATGACAACAGAACACAGGTAAGTCGAGGTCTTTACTCCCAGGGGCACCTCAGAGCTCATCAACAGGCCACAGCCCTGGTCACTGTAGAGTTTTCCCAGAAAACCACAAGCCTGGGAGGTGCCACAGCAAACATCAGATACTGCTCCCAGGAAATTAAGGGAGCAGTGAAATAGGCTGGTCCACAATGGAGTGAACAGCACTCCCCATGGCAACACTCACACTTTGAAGGGATGTATTCTGCATAGGTCTCCGTTTGCCCCAACTCTTCCGTTTCTTCCTCCTCACCCTCATCCTCCTCCTCTGCAGGAGCCTGAGACTGGAGAGAAGCATTGACCCAATGTTAATGTTGAGCTATGGACACGTGCAGTGCTGTGCCCTGCCACAACCTGCCACTGAAACCATCCCCCAAACCCTCCAGACACAATCCATCTCATTTACAGACTAAGGGCAACCACCAGTGGGGGCCAACCCCAGGGGCTGTAAGAGCTGCCCGGTCCTCACTGAATTGGGGAAAGATGTTTGCAGCACTTTTTGGATGGGTTGTGCCCTCCCCTGCCCTGAGTGAGGCACCTGGCACAGCTTTAAACCAGCGTGGTGCCAGCAGCACAGGGCAAAGTCCTGAGAGCCCAAAGTGTCCCCTTAACACAGTGAGGTTCCACCCCAGGAAATACAGCACACTTCTGCAAAAGGCAGGGACCTGTGTTTTCTTGTCTCATTCCCTCTGAAGGGAAGAGGGTCAGAACTGCTCCCCCTGCACTGGGATGTCACCAGGAGCCTGGTGTCCCATCCCACAGAGGCCACCCATGGCTCTCACCTGGTAGCTGATGAGGAGCGGGGTGTTGGGGACAGCAGGAACGTGGTCATGGGAGCTATTCAGGCCAGGGAATGGTGTGCTGGATGAGAACAGCTGGAACACAAAGGGTGCAGGTGAGGAAGAGCTCCAAACCCTCAGCCCTCCAACCCCAGCAAGCCCAGAAATACACCAACAAAGATCCTTGGACACGTGTGTGATCCCTGGCCCATCCAGCCTGCTGTGCCACTGCCAGCGAGGAGAGAGAGCTCCCAAGACACTCTGGGCTGGGGGGGCTCAGGCAAGGAGATCCTTTGTCTGCTCCCACACAAATTCACCCTGGAATTTCCCGACAGCGAGCAAGGTCAGGCCAGCAGCTCCTGGCATCCAAAGCAATCAGCAACTCCAGGAGCAGCACTACTCCAAGTTTACAGCCTGTGCAGACTGCCAGGCTCACAGAGCCTCATGCTCCACCAGCAGCAGAGAAAGATGGGAAGATCTTAGGCATAAACACTCCTATTTTTAAATAAAATCAAAAAAATAAAAAGAAGAAGAAAGAGAAAACCCACCCTCCATTCCTGGAAGCCTGAGTCAGAATTACCAGAAGGAAGCTGGACGGAAGAGCTGCTTCTAGTGCCAGCAAATCTGGAGAGCAGGTGAAACATCCCCACCTACAAATCCCAGCTCAGAGTTTGGTCTCAGGCAGGAGGAAGGCCTGGAGCCGCTGGAAGGGCAGGAGGTGTTCTTGCAGCTCCAGCAGTAGGAGGTGAATACAGGGCTGGTTTTGCACCACACAGTCCCCAAAGTACAAAGCTCTGCTATCCCGATCCAGCTTTGGCACTCAGCATTCCACCCCAGGAACTGCAGAGGATGCAACAGGAACCTTGGTTGCTCAGAGCATTTGAAAACCACCCACACAGGTGAGAATGTGCTGTGAGGGCCAGAGCAGGTGGGATCGGGAGCTGCAGTGAGAGATGGATGATCCACCTGTACAATTCCTGCCTTTCTCCACCCTCCCTTGCCTCCCAGTTTGATTTTCTCCTCCCTCTGTTCCAAGGGCATCCTGAGAAGAGGAACACAGACCTGTGAGAACACGGGGCTGGAAGCAGGAGGGAGAGTGATAATTGCACAATCACAGCCTCGGTCTTACTCCACTTCTTCCTCTCTGCATTATTCTCCATTTTGTCCCACCTCACCATGACTTCCCTGGGAAGGGAATCCCTTCTCTGGGTACTGAGCTGGGAGAAGGGTGAAGTGCTGTCAACAAGCTATAAAAAACTGCATGAGCAGCTCCAAAATTCCAGCCACAGGCTTCCGAAGCAAGTCTGTGCTTCCCAGCCTTAAAAACACTGGGAATGTGTGAGATGGATGAGAGAAAACACGATATGACAGGGACTATTTTTAAATGGTATTTCCCAGCTCCATTACAAAGGGAACTGTTTTGTCTGCTGCTCCTGCAAATAGTTCACAGGGTGGCAGCTCTTCCCTAACTGCCCATTCCTGACTGATAAACAGCCAAGGCACTGGATGCAGCTCCTCTCCCCACGGGCACAGGGAGGCAGCTCTATATCCAGCCCTTTCCTCCTCAGCCATAACACCCCACTCCAGACCCAGCACGGGGCACCTCAGTCCAGGGGCTCTCAGGGAGCTTGGAATGTTTATTTTTCAAGAGGACAAGGCACAAGGCTGTTCCTGTACCTGGGATCCACAGGTGGGTCTCCCACAGGAGGCATCCAGCTTGGCCCCTGGGATGTCCCACACATCAGAACTGTGAGGGACTGATGTTCCTGCTCTGCCTGAAACAGAAATTCTGGAAGAACTACAGTCCTGATAACCCAGCCCAGTGGGGTCAGAGCTGGCTGCACAGCCACAGCTGAGTGATGTCCTGGATCACACGGATCAGGATGGATCAGGATGGATCTGCCCGGGTGTAACGTGACTGATGTCCCATTTGTACTGAAGCTTAGTGACTGCTCTGGCTGCTGGCTGCTGGAAAGCCAAAATTCCTGCAATTCTGTGGACAATTACACTGTGAGGACGTGGGAAGGGATAGGGAGAGATTATCCAAACTGCTGATATCATGTACCAACGTGCAGCTGCCAATGATGAGTCAGTTTGACAATCCCTTCACCCAGTGTCCTGGTCCACAGTGCCCCCTCCATGCAAAAATGAAACCAAAATCTCCTGTCCAGGATGCACCTCCCTGACACCTCCTCAGGAAACATCACTCAGTTAAAAAACAGCCCAAAAAGCAACAACCCCGCCCAAATCATCTCTATCTCCAGAAAACACAGATAAGAAAACGTTTAAAATAGCTGGAGATTCCTTTCCAAAGGAAGTTGTTTATAAATGGAATTCCAAGGAGCTAATTGGCCTTATCTGAGTCCAAGTGCTCCACAGGACAAAAGGGGCGAGGGCAGGACGTGAGGAACAGCAGGGGAGAGGGACAGGGACAGGGATGGGGCCAAGGCTGGAGACACTGCTGTGCCCACACTTGCACAATACTTATTTCTCCCTTGTTTTCTTCACACTGAATTTAGAACAGCTTTTCCCAGTAAGTTTTTGCTGGTCCTAAGTTTGCAGACTGTGTGTGATTGTCTCGTGGCAACACAGCCAGAGACACTGGCTGCAAAATGCAGCCTCTGAGCACAGGAGAGCCTCAAAATGCAGCAATGACTATGGCACAGGCACCCCAGGTTGCCTCCTGGGGTATCCACAATGAGTGTTTTCCCTCATTCTTCCTAAGAGAGTGACCTACAAAGGAAACCCACGGCTCGGTGGGAGCCGGGACCCGGATCCAGCGGATGAGGATGATGTGGCTCCAACAACCCCAGGAGGAAGAGGCTGCCCCTGGTGACTGTGTCAGCCCCCAGCTGAGGCAGAGCAGATGGCAGAGGGCTGGTGAATGTGCCCAGGACCACACGCTGCTGTGGGATGGCCAGGAGGTCCCACGCCCCGGAAAACTCCGGGATGTAAAAGCTTGCAGGGACTTGGACTCACAAAGTAAACACAAACGGTGAGTCTAAAGTTGAGACAGTTTTTCAGTCATTGGAACTGAAATATTTGCCCTGGAGAACAAACAAAAGGTGCTGCTGCTGGGGGGGGCAGTTAATGATCTATGTTAGGGTGGTTTTCCTGGAGCCCATCCCTTCAGCACTCCTGAGTGCCCTGTCCAGGTCACACTGGACCTGCTGAATGTTTTAGGGGTACGTTCTCCTCAGGATGTACCTCCCTGCCACAGTTGCCAGGAGAAAGAGCTAGTGCCTGTGCTGCACTCTGGAAGAGTGTGTGAATCCCTCTGAGGGTGCCCAGATCCCATTCTGCTCCCAGGAGACCAAATATGTGTCACCACTTCACCCCTTCCCTCCTCCAGTGAATTTGGTAACAGCAGAACAGCGTCATCACACCTCAGCCTCACCCCGAGGGAATTGGGTTGGTTTCTGAATTCCTTAAAGGCCCCACAGGATGAAGCCTGAGGTGTTTTCTGGGGAGGAGGAGGGAGGGGCAGCCCCTACCTCGATGGGGTTCTGCGGGGTGTTCACATCCCAGAGTGTTGGCACGTGGCTGAGGCTGTCGGCGGGCAGGAAGTCCTTGGGATCCGCGATGTCCGACAGGGAATCCGCGGGGGACGAGAACAGGGAGTTGTTGGAGAGCTCATCGAGGTATGAAGAGTCCTGAAATGGAGACACGGCCACGGTTAGAGGAGGCAGGATGAGACCAGACAGCTCCTTCCTCACTCAGCCAGCAAGTTCTGATTTCTTGCTGTCGGATGAGCAGCCCCATCACTTCACACTCCACAACGCTCAGAGATTAACCTGGGCCTGAGGACACCCTCTGTGGTGCAGTTGGAAAACCTGTTTCTTGAAAAAGTAGGAAAAGCCCTGGCCAGGAGTGCAGGCACACAGTCAGGGCTGACTCGGGCTGTGCACATCCCTGACACGGAGGAGTGCGAGAGAGGCATCGGTTCCCTGCAGTTTGTGCCTGATTAAAGAGGCTGCTGAGGGGTGCAAAGGCCTCAGCCTGACCCCCTAAGGACCCCAGGATTTCATTCATGTGCAGAGGCCCACAGAGAACCAGCCACACCTGATCACAGCGTGGCTCTTTCACTGCAATTTCCAACACGGCTCTACCCGGAGCCCCGGGGAAACATCCCCCTCCTCCCTGCACACACGAGGCTCCCAGGAGTGCTGCTGTCACCTGGATTTGCATTTAGGTAAATCTGGGCAAATCTACCCATCCTCTTCCCAAGGGCCAGCCTCAGCCTGGACAAGGACTGTGCTCCAGGGACCAGGTTCTGCTCTTGCTCTTTTTCTGGTGCCTGGGCTGAGGGGGTTTGCAATTGTTTTATTTGGTGCCAGCCCAGTCATGCTGTTGCTTTGTCTCACCCAGACTTTGGCTCAGAAAGAGCCTTCAGCCCCCTCCCTAACATCAACCTCTGGTCTGATTTCTATATTTCAGGTGGTAAGAACCAAGAGCTGATAAGCACTTCTTGCTCTACATCCTTGGCTGTGGCACAGATCCCTGCCCCTTCCCCGGCTCCATCCCATCACCTCAGCCCTCCTCCCATACCAAACACCACTTTCAAACTTTGTCAAAGCAGAAGAACTTTGTCTGCTGTTTATTGAAGATCAATGTACTTCCAGCACCAAGCTCCAGCACTCAGGTCTGGCTGGAGATGGGCCTCTATCCCAGAGGGATGGGCAGACAGACCAGTAGGTCTGTCTTGGTGCCTCAGACTCTGCCAACACCAGTCAGGTCTGTGGTTCCTCACAGGGGTCAGCTCTGTCAGCACAGCCCAGCCAGAGCAGCGTGATAACCCTCTGCCAGCAGAGCCAGGGGCTGGTACAGGAGGAATCACTGCTCATTTCTAGTTAAGGGCCAGATTCCCACTCCAGGCAGAAAGGCAGCCAAAGAGTTTTAAGAGTCACTTAGCCCTGCCTGACATAAACCCTCGAGCAGCTGAGCCTGGCCGTGCTGTTCCTGAGAGCTTCAGGCCAAGAGCTGGGGCAGACATCCCCTAATTGCTATCCAAAGTTACAGGTTTCAGTGTTTAAACCTCCAGGACACGTTCTCTTCCCCTCTTCCCAGGGATGTCTCCTGAAGCTGCTGTGTGCAGGCACTGGCAGCGGTGCACAGAGGCACTAAAGGAATGGCAGGTGTGATGTGGGGGGTTGGATTCCTCAAATACCAACCAGGGGACCCAGGAACTCCAGGAGCAAGGGCTGTCCATGGGTCTGGCAGAGCAGGGTGGCACCTCCTGCCAGCAGTGGGTGCTGCCATGTGCCCAACGGGCAGCGCTTCCTGTGCAGCTCTTGCTCTTGTATTTCTGGGGCTATTTTAGGATTACCCAGAAACCAAGGTGTCTGTAGGGTGAATAGGCACCCAGATTTATCACCTCAGAATTAGGGGATCTCTGGGCTCCGTTTCACACTTGAGAAAGCAGAACAACACTCGGGTGAACGTGGCCTTGGCCAGAGCGAGTGCCCTGTGCAGGATCCCCGGCTGGTCCCATCACTGAGCCACGGTGAGACACCTCTGAGCAGGGTTTGTTCACCTGCAAGTGGCACTGACAGAGGTTGGGTCAGGAGGAAACATCTGCACATCGTGTTAGGGCAGCAGGAGGCTGTGGGGCAGCCCAGAGTGGCCACTGCATGTCCAGGTCCCAAGGCCAGGCAAGGGCTGGGCTGGAATAGCAGCAGGGTCTGGGAAAGCCCTGTGACACCACCTGAGACATCCCAGCAAGTGTCTCCCACCTTCCCAAACCCAGCCCCTTCCATCCCCAGAGAAGGCTCCAGCCCCACCACTGCTCAGGGCACTGGGCTGAACTGGGAGAGGAAAGCAGCCTCCAAGGCAGAGGGAGGACAATACCAGTCCTGGAAGTGATGCAGTGATCCCATCCTCTCCCAGCATTACAAGGCATTAGTCACCAACTTCCAGAGTCTCCCATTTGTCTTAACTAATTGCATTATCTAAAGAGCACTAAAGTTAATCACCTGCCAGGTTCCCTGCCCAAAGAACTTCCACCACCAGGCACTAAATTGGCCCTGCTTCTATCAAACCCAGAGTAATTGCTTAACAAAAGGCCACAAATAACCACAACCAGTACAAACCATGCCTGGACTAATCACTCCACTGGTTTATCTGGCCCAAACTGGAGCAGCTGCCTTGATGTCCTGGGGGGGGGGGAAAGAAGGATCATCACCTCAACCAAGAGCTCATGGTCAGGATTCTCAGGTGTCGGGGTTTGAAACAAGTTATTTTGTCCCTGTTTCAGACTGACTAACCAGAATTTTAAGGATTTCTCACTGGAAACATGAGGTTTTACAGTAACAGCACTTCTGCTTCAGTAGAAGTTGCATTTCTGCAACAGATGGAATTTGTCCTGCCAGGCAGGATTTTTACTTCAGATGTTTTTCCACAATGATTCTCTACATAAATCTCATTCCTGGAATTTGGCATCTCCGTGGCCTCCTCTGGACTGGCCCCAGCAGGTCCAGGCCTGTCCTGGGCCGAGGACCCAGAGCTGGGGGCAGGGCTGCAGGTGGGTCTCGGAGCAGAGGATGAACTGATGCTGCTGTGGCACATGGTATTCCTATCATTATCCCAAAACTGAGATTATCAAACCCAACAACTCACTCCCTAGAAAAGACCAGGAAAAAATCAGGGTAAACCAGCCCAAACACTCCACCTTTCTCCAAGCCCCTGGGAACAGCTCAGCTCCTTTGGTCAAAACAAAGTGTTAAAAATAATGATATAAATAGATGATATAAATAAAAAAAAAGAACAGGTGAAGTCTAAATACAGAAGGAATGAGCATCCTAAAAATATTTCTGGCCATCAATAGAAATGTTTTATTTTCTCACAATCCAGACACTGAGGAAACAGTGTCTGCAGAGCAGCTCTGGATGACTGCACAGCACAGCACCCAGGCGAGAGGGGGTTTTATTAAAAACCAAAAAAACCATGTATATACCCAAATACACACCCACAACCACAGCCACGCTGTCAGCAAGGAGAGATCTGGCACCTCAGAAATCACAGATTAAGCACATTATGTTTCAGGAGCTGCAGGCAATCACTATAAAATCTTTTAGCTGCCAAACCCCAAAAGTTTTCTAAATTCAGGGTGACAAACTGGCAGTGGGGAGGGTCCAGCCCTGGCCGGTGCTCCCCTCGCCCCCTGCACCCAGCATCTGCTTCGGAAATAAACCCCCCAAACCATCACACCCACACAAACACACGGATGGATTCCCACACAGCTCCTTCCCTCCAAATTCCACACTCAGGGACCGAGTTCTGACTGACAGAACAGCGTCCAGCAAGGCAGGTTCCAGCAGAACATAAATCACATCTTCGGGACAGTAAATCTGTTCCCGGTGCCCAGCATGGACAGACATCACTCCCAAAACTCTGCTGCCTCCGCGGAACCGCCCGGGACACCCGCCCGGGGAGCAGCTGGGGCCGGCTGCCCACAGCCAAGCGCACCGGGAGTTCCGAGGAGCAGGGAAAAAACCAGGAAAAATCAGGCATTACCTTGTAGAGAGACGGGAACTTTAGCCAGAAGTGCATTTGGGACATTTTAGAGCAGCATTCGGGGGGCTGGCGGCGGCGGCGGCAGGGGGAGGGTGCTCGGTGCAAAGAGAGGAAAGGTCCATTCACGGCCAGGGCTCATCGGGGGCTTTAAAAACCAACATTCAGCAGGCGGGAGGGAAAATGGAGGCAAAGGGCCCGGCAGAGCCGCTGTCCTGCGCCCGGAGATTTGCATAGAGTGTTTAGTCACGACGAGAGGGCTCTTACTTCCTCTAAGTCCAGGGCTGACTTTCAGGAAATGATGCCTGCTTGGTAAGTCAGTGAAATTACTGGCAGTGCGAGGAGAATTACTGTACGTGGTGTAATCCAACCACAGAGCTCAGTAAACAGCGCCGGGCTCCGCGGAGCCACAGGGCTCCGGGCTCCCTCCGCGCCCTCCCGGGCCACCGAGCCCAGCCTGTCCCCCCAGCACAGCCCCTGCCCCGGCCTGGGGGTCCTGCCCTCCCGCCCTCCCCATCTCGGGGTCAGATGAAGTGATCAAAGTGACAAAGCTCAGGAGTATTCCCACGTTGGTGTCCCCTTCCAGAGCCATGTGCTCTCTTTGTCTTCAGTGCCTGCCCCACCCCAAATTGTGCCATTAGAAATCCAAAGGAGTGGCCATTCTCTTCCCCTTCCTCCCTAGATCACTGTTACTTCCCAGGGATGCTGCCATCTCTTTCCAAGGCTGTCCCTTTTAACTTCAACAGTTTTTGGTAACAGAAATAAGCAAAATTTCTGGTGGGGAAGAGAAGAAGGGACACCTGAAAGGGATGTAAGCCTAAGAAAGTCTGCTCCCACACCACCCGAGGCTGGAGGGGAAGGGAATCAGCCAGAGAACCCTTTGCCTGGCAGAAAATCCCTGAGAACTGTTGTGTTTGCATTGGGTGCAAGAGGCTCCTGTTTGCTCTTCCCTGGCAGGGCCAGCAGCGGCCCCAGGGCCAGGCTCTGCCCACGGGGTCAGTCCCAGTTTCCCAGTTTGCCCAGCACACCCAGCAGTGCACAGACCCAGCACTGGGGATGGCAGAGGAGCACTGACTGCTCCGAGCCTCTCTGTCCCTGCTCCTCCTGCTCCTTCCACACCCCCACGGCACAGGAGTGCAGCTCT